TTCTTGCAGCCTGGGTACCTCGCCAGATCCTCTGCCTAGTCCTTCTTGAGGTCTGGCTATCCACGCTCTTGTTTCATGAGCCAACCCAAGGCATTTCAATACATTATTGTTATTATTATTTTGCTTAAATCCGACGGAGTTAGTTTCTATTTGGAGCTAAGAACCCAAACTGACGCCAACCCAAATGCCCAGCAATAGGGCTTAGACCCAAGCGCGTGATACAGCGCACGAGGGAATGCTATGCAGCCAGGCACAGCGATGAGGTAAATGCACATTTGTTGGCATGGAAAGATGTTCATAATCTGTAGTTTAGTGCAGAGCAGATTATACTAAGACAGGATGCATAGTATGATACCATATTTGCAAAAAAAAATACTCTGTACATTCATAGAAAAAGATCTTGAAGAAAATATAGCGGTATTCATCCTGGAGGGTCAGACAGTGAATGATTTCTCTTTTATCTTATCTGTCTTCCCTAACTTCTCTACAATGTTTGTGTAATGCATTTTTCTGTTTTCCTTTCTTTTTTAATGGGCACGGGTGAGTCTCCAGGGCCATGCTTTCAGGGGTGCAGTGATTTGCTAGATTTGGGCAGTGACTTATCCACTGAATGCCAGGGCTCCTGCTACAGGGACAGTTCACCTATAGCTCTGACTACTGCTTAGGAAACATGCTGGGAACACTTCCCACACCCCCAGGGCACCAGCAGTATCCCTCTTACTCTGACAGCAACCTTGTGAGGTGGAGGGTCTTCCCTCTGCTTGATGGAAAAGATGACCCAGAGAGGTGAGGTCACCTGGCCCGGGCCCCAACAACCCGGGGGCTACTCAAGTTGATAACAGAGCCAAAATGAAGCAGCTGAGCAGGAGGAAGGGCTTGAAACTACCTTGTGAAGTACGCTGTGTAGACAAGCTGCAGAGGGGTGGGGGCGAGGGGAAGAAAAGCGCTCACCACACTGTTGGGACCTGAATTCCTGCTCAGCAGGGGAGCCTCAGTGTTTCAGGGGGCCTCAGGGAAGCAGGGGATGGGTGGTCACGGGGGAGAGTGGGTTTGTGGGGTGCTTGTCCCACCCTTCCTTCTTATCTTCTAGGTGTCAGCTTGAAGGTTATCTGGTCAGAGAGGCTCTCCTTAACCCCTAAGATACGTCCTTGCCATCAGTACTTCAGCCCTTTGTCTCCTCTGTAGCATTTCCTATAACTTGCAGGCACGTTACTTACCTGTTGGTTTGCTTTACTGTCTGTTTCTCCCTCGGTGACTTGTAGGCTTCCTGAGGGCAGGACTTACGCCTGTCTCGCTTACAGCGTCTCTGGCACCTAGCGCAGTGTCCGATCCCCTGTAGGCACTCACTGAGTATCTGCTGAGTGATGGAGCAGACGTACACAGGGCTGGGATGGCCAGCAAATCACAGTGGCTGGGTCACCTCTGCCTTAATCGGCTGCGTGACCTCAGGCAAGTTGCTGCCTCTCTCTGGACCTCTTCCAAGCCTTGACCTAAGTATAAATATCCAACTCTTTCAAAAGGATTGGCCTCACCCTTCCTGAATATATTAGGTCCTATTTAAGGGAAGGTAATAGGAGTTGGAGTCATTTGCTAAATTATACCTTAAATCAGGGGTGGGGAATGTCTGGCCCTGCCACGGCCTCACCAAAGAGTAGCAGTTCCAGCCATCACATTAGGGGAGAGTAAATTAAATGTGTGACCAAATATAGCAGGCTAACTTTTAAGTTGGTAATTTTATACAGCCCTCGAATGATAGAAATATCCAAATGGCCCTTGGCAGACAAAAGTTTCCCCACACTTGCAGATCAACTGCTGGATGATTATTCTGATAACACTGCAGTGGTTTTCCCAGGAGTCACTGATGTGCAATGAACCCAATCGTATTTTACTCAATAAACTCTTTTATTGTAAGTTTCCAGATTTTTCCATTACAATAATGAAAATAGCACTAGTGATTCGTAACACTTAGGCCCAAATCAAAGGGGAGCCCCTCCTCAAGTTATAACATAAATGACACATAACTGAACATATAGTGAATGTTGGGCAAGAGGCATTTAAAATACAGTGGTCCCTCGGTTTTCGAATGTGATCCGCTCCAGGAGACCGTTCGAGTTCTAAAATGTTCGAAAACCAAGGGATCCACAGCCGACAGCTGGGCCTCAGGAGCTTGCCCTCAGCGGAAGCCGTGTGGCGTGTTCGACTTCCGAGGCGTGTTCGAAAACTGAAGCATTTAATTTCGGGTTTACAGCATTTGTAACCCAAAATGTTCGTAAGCAGAGACGTTCGGATTCCGAGGCACCACTGTACAGAAAATAAGGTCAAGGTTTTTGTACGTGGACAAACACTTTAAGCACATGATTTTGAAAGCACATGATTTTGAAAACTACTTATAATTTGTGATAAAACACAACTGTAGAGAAAAGGGAAAATCAAGCAAAAATAAAAATACCCCCAAAATGAAAGGAAGTGAACCAAATACATGGGGTCGATATGCAAACCTCCAGTCCTTTGGCCCTGAAATGGCAACTGAGAGGGTTTCATAGAAATTCTCTGTAGAAAGGAATGTCTGGCCTGGTGCGACATTGCTGTGTCTTCAAGTCCTGTCTCCTCACAGAGGAAAATAAGTTGCTTATCCAGCACATCTGCCTGGAGTGGGGCCTACGTTCCCAATCCTTTTGAGAACAGTCCCAAAACCTGAAAAGGCAAGGTGTCCCTGCAGCGGCCTCAGGAGTGGCAGGGAGATGGGGTCAGAGTTGGTCCCCAACCCTGCCAGCGCTGTCCGAGTGGTTCACGGGGAGTGGGTGGGCCTCCGTGTTGAACACCCAGTCTTCTAGGGAGAGCATGTCATCTTCAGAGAACAGAAGATAGAGATACCTGTGCCCCCAGCAGGGAGGGAAGCAATACACAGCCTGTCAGTGCTCTGGGAACAGGGCCTCCCCCGAGAATGAACCTCAGGGGCCTCTGTCACAGGCCTGTGGCTATGGGTGCAGGGTGCTCCAAGACCCCAAATCCGCTTGGAGGGTTGGACCCAGGGAAGATGCTGTGGACGCCAAGAAGAGCACTGAGCTTTGGGGAAAACAGCCCTGGTTTAATCCTGGCTCTGCCCCCAGCCCTCACACCTAACAGCTGTGTTCAGGTACTTGCCCCACCTGGCCCTGTGTGTGAGTCCCGCCAGGAAACCTTATGGCCTAGATTCTCCTTTCTCTGCAGGGTGGCCTGAGTACTGCACCAGTCTAAACTCTTGGGATGCTCCCTTATGTGCCCTCCAGGAGACTCTATAAAGTAGATGTTAGGGCACTAAAATGAACAGGAAGTGGTAACTCCAGAACCCCAGCTTCCCAAGCCATGTGGGTTTTTACTAGAAGGAAAGGATCATTCAAGTTCATCCTAAAGGGTTAAGGCTCAAGGGCATTGCTCTGGGGAACAGCAAGGAAGCGAGGGAACAGTGCAGCCACATGCAGAGGTAAGTCACCAGCAGTGACCAGTATCGAGATCATCATGGTTATTTTTATTTACAGAAGAAGGCACAGTTTTATAGGACTTCAGTAACCTGAGGAGACAGGCTACAGAACTGAACTTACCACAGCTAATACTTCGTGGGGTAGAGTCCAACCTGGCCTCACTCTCTGAGTAGAGAAACTGGCTGGGCCCAAGGCTCATTCCTGGGGATGTCACACTCTGGATCCCAAGACCCCCATCCCTCTTGGGCCCCTTCCTGTGACTGAAGACTCTGACACTGGTGAAGGGACAAACTGCTGACCCCTCCGCCATCCCTAAGAAAAGCCGTGTAGTCCACTGGAAAGAATGCTGACCAAGCCCGACTCACTTTAGTGTCTCCGCTAGAAAGAAGGTCTGCTGCTTGTTGTCGTAGCTGGGAACGCTACTGTACACGTTCTGGATCCCAGAGAAACCGGTTTTTGTCCGACAGTATTTCTCCAAGGCCTGAAGAAAAGGAAGTGAGCCCTGGTGTGAGGAGAGGAGAGGCCCCCCAAGACTCATGCCTGTGCAGCAGGCCAAGCTCGACAATGGTCAGGCCCCTGACCCCTCAATGGGGACCCCTGGCATTTGTGGAGGCAGAAGGCCGAATTGTTCTCAAGGTTCAGCCCTGCTGCCAGGCTTGAAGGGCCTGCTGCCCAAAGCTCGGTCCCAACGGACTGCGCCCCGAGCTCTGCACCTGGTGTGAGCCTAAAAGAAGCTTCTCTTTACCTTTCAGGGAATAGACTGATGGCAGACTTGTCTACAGTGGGGACAGAGGAAGGCAACTGGTGATGTCTGTGGGCTGGGATCTGGGACTGTCATACTCCAGAATTCTCCATGGAGATGTGGTCCGTGGGCTAGAGGTCCGTGGGCTGTCTGGTTTTTGTACAGAAATGCACTTTTTACCCACTGAGCGTTTGCAGATGGGGCCCAGGAGCACAAAATACTTAGCCTTCAGTGGCCAAGGACCAGGTCTCAGGGAAGCAGGAGACTGGCCAGTGAGCCATTACAATGAACCTGAGCAGGCCCCTGTGCCCCAACTGAGGATAACACTCTGGGTATGGCTCTCTCCAGGACAGTCAGTGCCTCTGAGAGCAGTGGGTTGGGGAAGGTGGGGGGAAGGACAGAGAAGGCTCAGCATCCATCAGGGAACCTTCTGGGGTCTCCACACCTGCCTTTGACACCTGCCCCAAAGTGGGCATGAAATTTCCCACTAGGTAGCTGGGGACAAGAGGGCTACTAGAGGAGAGACTGGTGGTAGGGGTGGGTGGAGCAGAGCCCAGAGAGGGATGGGGGTTGCATGGGACTGGGATGGCTCTGGAGAAAGGAGGGAAGTGAGCTGCTGGCCTGGCAGCCATTCCTGTTTGAGAGAAGAAATCTGCAGCATTGGTCCAGGCTTCAGGGTCAGAAAGCAGGCCCCCAAGGCTACGGGCCTCAAAACTTTCTTCTCAAGCCCCTGGCTTGATTGTGCCGAGCTGGGGACTCCTGGCTCTGCAAACACAACTTTGACCCTTTGAATTCTGAACTTTAGCCAGATGCCAACCTGACTTGACCTTCCTCTCAGTGCTGAGTCAGGGGGTTTGGACCCTGACTGTGACTTCTCAGGGTCACCTGCTACCCGTTTAAGCCTCCCCACCCCTTTTCCCCCAGCCTGGCCCACTCACCATCACCACTTCCCAGCCCCACTCCCTGTAGATGGGGTTGTGGGTCTGCCGCCATAAGTACATGTAGCTCTCCACCACCTCAGGTCTCAGGATGTAGTAGCTCTCGCTCAGCTGCGTGGCCATTGCTTCTTTGCCGGAGTTAAACCAGAAGGCCTCGGGCCCCAGTTTGGTATCTGTGGAATGACCCCGAAAACAGAGGGCCTGGCTGCCCCAGGATAGATCTGGGAGTGATGGTTGATGATGGACTGGTGTGGGGTAGGCCCTGCCTGCAATGCCTGATAAGGTTGAGTCTGGCAGATATACAGCTTCCCTGTTGGCCCAGGTTGGCCAAAGCAAGACCCTGGAGGCCTCAAAAATTTTGCAGTTTTAGAACTTGAGAATCCAACGACCCAGCAGTCTGGGGAGGCAAAGGTTGGGGTGGTGTTCCCTAACTGTGTATTTTGAGACATCAGCTCTGTGAGATGTTAGCCAGAGCTCAGCCAAGACAGGGTTCCAGGTTTAAATACATTTGGAGAACAGTGGGTTAAGCAAAGTAAAATAGTCTCACTCACACAGGACTTATCAGATCCTTTAATATGCTAATATGCAATGAAGCTTCTCCACAGACCTTAGGAAACTGCTTTTAGCTCTTCTCAGAAACAGCCTTCCAGAGTTGACAGTTTGGGAGACTGTTGACATGGAGATGAGGGAAAGACCTGCCCAGAGCACATACTCAGGCAGGGGATGCTGACTAAATAAAGAAGGCTGGTGAGGTCTGGGTTTTGCTGCTGTTATTGTTTTGTTTGTGGACAATTTACTGCCATTCCTGTTTTGTGGATGACCACAATTACATCACCACCACTGCAGCTGCCATTTATGATTTCAAAGGCTGTGCTGGGTGCTTTACAGACATTGTTTCAATCCTTAAAGAAATGTGGTTTTGCTGAGGGAGATGTTATCCCTGTCATGAGTGTGGAAACTAAGGATCAGAGAGGCTGAGTAACCTGTCCCAGGGAACACAGAGCAAGCTGTGGCTGAGCTGGGATGACACCCTGGATCTGTCTGATGCCCTTTCCCAGCCTGTGCCCTCTCTCTTTCCCTTCTGAGCCTAAAATTTAGGGTATGTGGGTTGGATGTTCCTCTCTTTTTACTTTTTTAAAATATATTTTATTGATTTTAGAGAGAGGAAGAGAGATAGAAACATTAATGATGACAGTCATTGACTGGCTGCCTCCTGCACGCCCCCTGCTGGGGACCGAGCCCACAACCTGGGCGTGTGTCCCGACTGGGAATCAAACTGTGACCTCCTGGTTCATAGGTCGAGCTCAACCGCTGAGCCACGCCAGCCGGGCAGGACCCTCCTCCCTTTAGTGCCTGCGCATCCTGTGCAGGTTGGCGGAGGGCCCAGTTCTGGTCCTGTTGTGAGCCCTTCCTCTGCTCACTGGGGTTCAGGACCCGAGAGGCCTTGAGCTGCCTTTCCTCAGGACACAGGCGTCACAGGACATCCTACTCTTCTGTGGAGGGCTTCCTAGAAGAGGCGTAAGCCAGACCCAGGCCCTTCTGATCTCCCAAATGGTGCAGCCACTCCTAACATCAGAAAGCGGTCGTCTTGCCAAGCTGCTAATGGGCGAGGGTGAAAGCGACTCCTGCAGCCGTCCGTGGCCAAGCCGGGCTGGCTGGAACGATCTGCTCTATTAAGCCGACTGTCTTTTACGGTCTGGGCTGATTGTCCCAGACAAATAGCAAGCTTTTATTGTTCCTGAGATTTCCTATTTGTTTATGGCGCTGACAGAGAGAGCTCTCTGAAGGGAACGGAAGACCAGTTTTAGGTACCCATCGTGAACCGCTGGCTTTCTGAACAGCTCGGGAGATCAGGATTCACTGTGGTGGTCACAGACACATTTCTGTGGGCCACTAACAAACGCCTCCATGCTATTGGCTGAAGGAGGCCGGCAACGTGCTTTCTGTGGGACCCTCTACTATCCTGGAGACCTGCATTATTGTTCCCATTGAACTGATGAGAAAACGGAGGCCATCTAGCTGGTGAGTGGCGGAGTGGCACCCGACCCAGGAATTTTTACTGTAAATCTTGGGTCCTCTCCTCCAAATAAGACTGGGATTAAATTCAGAGTATCGGGCACCTTCTGGGGTCCTGGGGGCCGGGGATTGTTCTGAGGGCCGCTGTTCAGAGGCAGCATACAAGGTGGACCTGAGCATCAGGAGACCTGGGTTCGAGCCCCGGCTTAGCTACTCACAACGGTGTGACTTTGGCTCTGGACTGACTCTGTTCTCCATGTGTAAAATGAGGAGTCGGGCTCATGTTCTCTAACATGACTTCTGACTCTAGCATTTGACAGTTCTGCCTGAGTGCTGAGTGGACAGTGAAAAGCCCTCAAGCTTGGATCAAAGAGGTTGATAAATGGTGGTGCCAGGAGGTGCCGAGACTCACTGAATGGGGGGGGCTTCTGGGGAGGAAAAGCAGAGGTATGTTTGAGGGTCGGGGGTTAGGGGAAGGAATTCACTAGCCTCAGGAAGCCAATGTTTCTGCCTCAGGGGCCGGAGGACTCCGCTCTGTGCCCCACTCATGGGACCTTGGCCGCGTCATCTCTGAGCCTGTTTCCTCATCTGTGTTGTGAGGTTCAGCGTGATATATGTCAAGTGCTGAACAACACCTGGCACACACCAATGGCTTAATACATCATCCCTATTTTCCCTGTAACTTAGGTTACAGCCTCAGCGCATACACAGCACGTCCCTCGTTAAATTCTGTATACCTGCAGAAGGTGACACTTCCCTAAGACCACGTGTTCCCTTCACTCCTGCCACTCTGCTGGACTTCCCAGTTCTTCCTTGTGTCTAGCCTCAGTCTGTCCTGCTGGTCAGTCTCCTTGCTGGGTTACCTGAGCGGTCGTACGACTCGTGGCACGTCTTAGTGATCTGGGCTGCGAGTTCTCGGTAGTGGGCCCTCTTGTCCTCCTCGGCATCCTCGGCACCGAGGGCGATCATGCCCCCGGAGAAACAGGCCAGGTGCCCCATCTTGTGGTCCAGAATCCCCCCGCGCCACTCAGCAATGTAGGTCAGCCCCTCAGGAGACACTTTCACCAAGTAGGTATCTATTGCCTGGGAGCAAGGTAGGAATTATGCGGGAGAGGGGGTGTGGGAGGGCACAGAGAAGGGAGGGGAAAGGACGGAAAATGAATGTTTTGGAGACAGCAGCAGACACAGCTCCACTGAGCCCTGCATCCCGGGCAAAGGAGGCCGACTGACTTCAGCTGGGAGCTGGCCCGATGGTGCCTATGGAGGTTCCGCCCTCGCCCAGCTGAGGCCTGGTGCCTGCTGGGGCTTAAACATAAGGTAGCTGCCCAGGGTCTCTTACATAGACTTTTAAATCTACATACAAAAAAATTTGTTTCAGCAAATCTTTTTTTTTTTTTTTTAATACATCTGTTGATTTCAGAGAGAGGGAGGGAGGGGGAGAGAGAGAGACATATCAATGGTGAGAGAGTCACTGGACCTGGAGGCAATCAGACTGTGTTTGCACCCTGGCTCTGACTTGCTGTTGTGTGATCTTGGGCCTTTCTGACCCTCAGTTTCATCTGTAAAATGGGGGCTAAATAAAACCAGGCACTGAAGGTACCTGCCAGGAGAAGGCCAGAGTGACAGAAGCTCTGCCCTTCTTGCCCGTTTTCCCATAACCCTCAGGGGTTGCCCAGTTGGCCTGTCTGAAGCCCCCACACCCTAACCTGCACACTGGAACTGCCCCTCCCTCCACCCCAGCAGCTTTCCAGGCTGTTGCTTGGGTCCCACCCCAGAGGTTCTGATGTAACCTTGGTGGGGTGCACACTGGCCATTGGGATTTAAAAAAATACATTTTTTATTGATTTTTAGAGAGGGAGGAAGGGAGAGATAGAGAAACATTGATGTGAAAGAGAGACATCTATCAGTTGCCTCTCACAGGTTGCCTCTCGCATGCACCCTGGCCGGGAATGGAACCAGCAACCCTTCAGTGTATGCGATGATGCCCCAACCTATTGAGTCACACCAGCCAGGGCTGACCATTGGGATTCTTAATGTGTGACTTTTAACATGCCAACAAGGTTGACAACCACCAGAACATTCTTCAAAGTACCAAATTTGCCACAGGTCCAGCCCTTACCCAGGGTCAGAGACACTGAAGGCTGTTCACTGGGGAGATCAAATACAGAGCAAAGCCAGTTGTCTCCTGTTCAATCAAGTGTTTCCGTAAAGCCCCCAGTTTGCTTAAATAATTCATGGTCATTTCTTCCCTTGAGGCCTCAGCTACAGGGTGCCCTGAAGGCAGGGAACTAGGCTGCTCGTTAACTGTGGTGAATGGTGGAAAGGGTAGCAAGGGCCTTTCCAGGCAGCACATCTGGCCACCAGCTGAACGCTAATCCCACAGGAGACACTGGCTGAGGGCTGAGCTCAGCCATAGAAGCTTGGGGTGGATGGGCTGAGCCAGACTGAGCTGGGACTGGAGTCCTAAGAGCTGCTTCATGACTGCAGTGTTGGTGCCTGGGAGCTGGGCAGGGAAAACTCATTATTGAGGCCGTAGATTAAAGAGTCCATAGCCCTGCAGACCTGTTTCAATGTGTTTCCTTTAAGCATTATCATTGCTGGCTAGATTCATGTGATCATGGCGTAGTTTCGTCCATCCAACCAACTGCCTACAATCCATCCACCCATCTCCACCTACCCATCCACCCTTCCATCCTTCCACCCACCCATCTATCCACCCATCCTTCTGTCCATCTATCCAGAGCCAGGACGCCTTGCTCTAGCTTCAGCTCTGCCAGTTCCGTGCTGTGTGGCTTTGCCTAAGTGCTTCCCCCTCTGGGCCTTGGTTTCCATCTACATAAAGAGAAGGAACAGAGCTGGATGCTCCACTGACGAAGGGCCCTCCCAGCTTGAATATACTAATTGTCACCTCTGGCTGGGCAGGAAGATGGCTGATGCTTTGGCAGCCGCCCGTGTGGGGGCTCCCAGCCCCCCAACTGGCTGCATTCTGGGCTCTGACACATCAACTGAAGCATAGATACCGTGGTTTCTGAATCAAACTGCCTGCTGCTTCCTGTGAGACCTCAGACAAATGACTTCACCTCCCTGAGCTTGGGTTTTATATCTGTGAGACACGGATGCTAACCTGGCCCTCACCGCAAGGTGCTGGGAAGAGTCCTGAGAGGGGGTATGCAGAGTGGCCGACTGGGGAGGGAGCTGTCTTGGG